GTAAGACCTTACATAAGTGACGTCTCTTTTAACTCAGTATGCAATGACCAATGTGGTGTGGGTGATTTGTTGCTGTATCCCTATTTTGAAGTACTGTTATGAATCAACTCTAATATATAATCAAGCACTATCAATTACTTGCTTGCTTAGTTATTAACATGCTTACTTATTCACATACTTTGTTTATTCTCCTCTCCCACTTTACACTGAAAAGCATTTTTCATGGCAAATTTCACTTTACCCAGATAGATCGCAACTTCTTCGAGGTGCTGTCCTTCTGCCCCCTCCCCTGCCCTCCTCTCTCTTCCGATTGGTTTGCTTTCTGCATGAGTAGTGGATATGTACCTCTGCCTGCTGAAGTTACAAAATACACATAATATCATACTACTCCAATCTATATCAAATTATTCTGGTTTCTATCCTTTATCTGATCAGTTGAGTGCTACTTAAAACTCTTCCTTTTGATAGAGCCTTAATAAAAAGTTTTGAATATTTTGTTCCTCTTGGGCGTTCATCCTACACCACTGAAGGCTCTCCCAAACACACAGACAGTTCTTACAGTTGTGGAGTGGACTGTCACATTGGAAAGTAATCTGAAATGATCTTCTGATATCTGGTGAATTGTCACGATAACAAAAACGGTTGTCCTTCATTCTATATTCATAAATTATGATAGCAGTTCCAAACAATCTACCAGTTGTTCTTTTTGTATCAATCTGTTTTACCTATTTTTCCTTTATTGTTCCCCGGCGATCTTTCCCGATTTATTTTAAAAGTTTTCGCTGCTCTCAGTCACTGCGTTTCGCTTCTGTCGATGAACTGTCTTATCACTAAATTGTGTGGCCGCTTTGATGATTCTAGTGTTTGAGTTAGGCACCCAAGAATTTTGTGGACTACACACCAACTAGTTCTAGGTTGCCGCTCACTCCAGTTATGATCAGCATATGCAAGCATTTTCCTAACCCGTGTCTTCGCTGATTTACGGAGAGTTGCTACTGAGTTCTGGATGAAAACTTTGCATATCATTCTCTTCCACGGCGTAATGTGTTTGACGGCAAACCGGTTTATAAAAAAGCCTATTGATGCAATACGAACCACAGCCATTCAGTCACTGGCTAACTGTTCGAAGGATCTATACATACTTCTCACTTGATTTAATTATATACTTGCACAAACACCAAACTGTCACTTTCCCCTCGCTGTATGCTAATAATGTGTTCGGTAAAGCACCAAAGAAAACAATCATACATCTATTTTCTTACCCATTTTTTTGCTCGATTTATTCCATATATTTCCCCAGTTTACAATTTTAAAACTCCAACATCTATTTCAGTACTTTCCTACTAAACCGTTCGCCAGTTACATTTCAATGGTCCATGAAAAGGATTGTGTACTTTTAGTCCCCCAGACGTTCCGTTATTAAGACCGTTTTTGCTGGTTCTCGTCGATCCACATAAAAATAGTGTCATAAAGACAATATTTGCTTTCCCCCATCCCAGTAACAAGACAGAAAATGGGAACCAGTGTCACCGTTTAACCGGGACTGGATGAGGCGACGTGACTTAATTCCGTCGGTTCGTATCGCGGTTTTCTGTGCATGCGCGCGTATGAGGCAGTGCCCCTGTTGCGACTAAATAGATCATAAAGTGGTAACACGGAGCTCAAAAGCTGGGGTTCTTAAACACACCCCTCCGACATACGGGAATGCAGTGGACACGGTTAGTGTAAGGTTGAAGCTCCCCACAGTCTGCTTTTGGTCTAACCACAGGGGTGATAATAGTGTGAAAGCTCACAGTTGCCCTGAGTGGTTGGCCTTTTGTCTGAGAATGGGTGAAGCGACCGATGAGGTAGACGGAAAAGATTTCGAGGTCAACCATGACTCGACCTAACTGTTTACCCACCCGAAATGATTACAGCCCGCACAATCGTTTATACAGGTTACATGGACAGACAGTTGCCGCGCGCTGTTTTGTTTGGTTGATTGCACACTAGACTGTATCAAGTCAAATGCCAAAAAGTGTTGACTATGATTTTCACGGTGATGTGCTCCAGTGATGCGTTTGAGCATTTGGATTTGTTGGTATGGTTATATTCAACGGATCAGATTACATCACACGGTCATGCGGAGTCAATACGTATTTGGAATTGAGTGAAAATTGTTTCACACAATTTTCCGCACCACGACATAAAGCGATCGTTCGATGATGTACTGCACAAAACCGAATGTTAATCACGCTACTTAGTTCTTCCCCGATAGATCGGCATTGTCCCGGTCTTTGATATCTCCAACGTTTGGAGTCTAGTGCTCGGGTAATTTCTTTCGAAACACGCATTCGAGTTTCGGATGTGATGTGGTGGGTAGCTACATTTTATCTGATAAATGTGACACCAAATGACCAAGAAATGATATGTTTCACATTCGCTCGCCACAGTCCAACTTTATTCTAGGGGTTTTGGTTCGAACTGACCATCCTTCAGACAACCCTCTGTCAATCATATATTCGGAAGCACCAGATCCGAGTTTTGCTCTTAAAAGAGCTCATCAATAGTGCAAATCCGCCGTCCCGTTTGGGCTTTGAACTTGGGAACTGTCTTAAGAACACCATGTGTTACCACTCTACCAACCAGCTCATAACCGGACTAATCCGTATCGCCACTCCATGTTTGTTCGTGTGTCATCTTCAGTCACAGTCCGTCAGTGCATTTTTGGCTCGACAGAAACAAAGAGAGGTATAGTTGACTATCTTTTACTTCCAATCGAAAGCCTCACATCAAGTCAAGTCTTCCAGCAGGTTAACGGCGGACTTGCCACAAACGGGCTAGGCTGGGTTAGTAATTCATATTTAACTCACAGTTACTTGTGAGTAGTGATGTGGGATAATTGATAATGATTTGAAATGACCATAATTCAGACTTTATCTTCACGCTCAAAACTGTGGAATAAATGTCAATTATTTCGAAGGATTGGCACCATTGAGTGACAATGAATGACACGGTAACAAGATTGACCTGATTCATATGAACTCATCGATTAACTACGTCATTGTCATTTTGTCATGGTGCCACAGCGATCACTTTCCATGTGACCCTCTTTGTGGAAAGCAATGGTTGACTATGCATACATACAGAGAGAGAGAGAGAGAGAGAGAGAGAGACGGATTACGTCATCTCCACTGGAAATATATGGCTATTTTTAGATAGAAAGATGACATAACATCTTGTATTATTCCTAACTGGGATCATCATAGTCGTTTCAGCAGCTTCAACTTCACTCAGATTTCACACAATCTGTTCTTCAAAATTTCTTCTTAGGGGGCACCTGTTGTAGCTGATGCTCAACAGAACCCATAGAGGATTCCGGTGTCCAGTAGTAACGGTCAGGATATGTACTAGTCGAAGTGATCCACCACTTCGAGTTGTTTGTAGTCTGAGATTGCGGTTTCATTTTATAGATCGATGAAGCATGGGAATACCTCATTGTTCAACATTCACTGGAATTATCACGTGCTTTCTTTCCACATCTGTTAAAATCAGTGACGAAAATAATCTACAGGATCCAAGATCGACATAATTGTTTCCGAAAGAAATCACAATCAAATTTGATCCAAATTCTTCCCGTCTAAACTAGGAGGATTTGATAGACACCCAAGTGATCATTACTTAAAAAATAAGAGAATTTTATACAGATACATTTTGAAGATCGTTTTTATTCAATTCTCCCTGTTTGGGTTCTATACGAATGACTCGACAGAAAACCATTAGAAGCCTTACTTACCATATTCCCTATCACTACCTTTGTTGAACATTGGTCTAGACATTTGAGAAAATTATATTGAGTAAATCCCAAATTCATAGGTAGTCTTCATTCGCTCGACTGGCACACAGTCTCCATTTTCTGTGGATTTATGTATTCAAAATTTTATCAATGTTTCTTCACTCTTTTTCGTCCTGCTGTTCCCAGGAACCTGCAATACAGGAAGGGGAGAGGAAATTCCTATGATATTTCCCAACAATACTGAGCACCAATCCACTACAATGCAGCGATTATATCACTACTGGTTCAATACCATACATCGTATGGCAAATTTTTCCGGTGTACCAATGAATCAAACGGGATCCTATCCTAGTGCAAGTGATAGCAGTTTGACCAGCTGGTCGAAAAACAAAACAGACCCGGGACCGGAGGGTCTGGTTGACATCTCAACGAGTAATCCGATGCAATTACTTCATCAACTGGGCACTATGGTCCTCGTGGCTAAAAACAACCCCGAGGTAAGAACGTGTACGGAGGCTAAGAGAGGCTGGGATCCGATAAATTCACACATGACCAATTCAACCGGTCGCCACGTGCCTATTCGTGAACAGAAACATGGTCTGGCAAGTACACCGATCAAAATGACTCACAGTGGTTATCCCAAACGTCGAAAGCGTCGAGTGTTGTTCAGTAAAATGCAGACACATAAACTGGAACAACGGTTTAATGAACAGCGTTATTTAAGCGCAACTGAGCGAGAACATTTGGCCAAAATGCTCGACCTTACTCCTACTCAGGTAAACACGCTTTTTTATCATGATGGATAAATTTATCTTTTCTCTTAGTATTTCTTCACAAAAATCTAGCATTATATATATTTAATGTAATCCTTAAATTAATTATCTGTTGTTTATAACTCGNAACTCGGTTGCGAAAACTCTGCAAGTAGGCGTGTACCTCTATCATCACTGTTGAGATAGCTATTCCCGATTTTCGGTTTTTCTCACTTTTTGAATATGAGTCAAAATGGGATTTAAAATTGTTCTTTGTAAATTTCACAATAAATATTCATCGGCTGTACGTAGTTACATTGCATTTATACAAACTAAAAAAATGGTCGTGGGAAAGTAGCTATTGAACACAATACCATTGGACAAAATCTACTACTGTCAACCCCAATAAAACTAGTATTCCGCTGCCGTAAGTAGCACTGTTGCTATTGAGAAAAAAATCAACCAAAAGTCAAGCGGACAGTGATCCGCCCGCTGGGATAGTTCTGCTCAGCAAGCCTTCTCTATGATTGAGGGTAGAGAGAAAGCAAAATGAGGTGCTGTAAAAGGGCCATGGAACTATGTGAACTGACTTCAACCCCGGTGATACATACTCTCCAGGAGGGCTTCTTAACATTTTAGGGAGGTAATAGTAACAAACTTTCAGAGAAAGCATGAAACCTTTGCCTTCGGTTTTTCGTAGTTCACCGATAGAGAAACCTGATTCAATCGAATTACACGGCACGGTCTAGAACCGATACCAACTGTGGTTTATGATAGGTCGAGGTCACGAACTCTATCGATTATTGTGGGCCAATTTGAACTATGAAACCAAAATGATTGAGCGATCAACTGGTAACTGTTCACACAAAATGATAGACCTTCGTTGTTTGGAAAGTCATTTTGATTGGATATGCAATGCATCTAAAACTGTAAGCAAACAAAACAAATGCGTACAGAAGTTACGCCAATTGGTAGATTTTAAACATCAAATCAAGTCATCGAATGCATTATTAACTCACAAAGTAGCAGATTTATTAAACTTATGTTTCAGTTTATGTTGGACTTTACAGAAATGGGAGCACATAGACGTACAATCCCTTTATTTTTCTTCCTTTTTTGATATAAAGGTTAAAATTTGGTTTCAAAATCATCGCTATAAAATGAAACGCGCCAACGAGGAGGGAATCAATATGAGTAAAATGTCTTCCACAAGCCAATCTCCAGTGCGAAGCGCGGAGAACAGGAACATGGCTCTTGATTGTCGAATCCCACGGAATCCATTGAGTGCGACATTTGAGACCCGATCGAAAGCTTCTACTTCGAATGATGTCATAGAGAATTGCCAACAGTCTCCTCCCAATGCCCATGTGTCAGACTTACCGTTGAATTCTGGAGTATCACTGATGGATAAGTGGTTGACCTGCCTGACACCTTATTTGCACTCATCTCCCTCTTTCCCGCCAATGCCGATCCAGACGTCAGGGAGCGTTTCAACTCACTCTGGACATAAACAATACATGGTTAATTCCAATGCAGTGAATCCGTATTTTTTCCCGCCGAATGCACCATTCTTATCTGTGATTCCCCACGAGACTACCAGGTCGACTTGACACAGTTGAAATTTGCCGCGCATACCAAGATTTGCGCCGTTTTTACATTGTTTTCCGAGAACACAAATGACACTTGAGAGACATGTGGCCGGATATTGTGACTCCACAAATCCACCATCCTCCCCATAACCGAAATCCTGTACAAATGAACATATAAGTGAAATCTGTTGTAAACTGACATCTTTTGGCCGCTGATGGGGATCCAAGGTCCGGTTAGGTACAGGTCCACTACAGGCCTTTTATATTTTCCATGGTTGTAGTTGCGATCCCCACAATCCAGGGGCCGTATTAGCTAGCTTTGACTTGTTTGAATGTTTGCGGCCAGTTTTACGGCTGACTATCTGACAGTTCCAATTTTCAAAATTCGTTGTACAAAGTGCAAACAATGAGTGACGGAAATTCACATACCGAAGTCCCCTGAAAACAGCGTGAATTTGAACGAGAATTAGACCCACGGAGTAAATTAATTTTTAAGGTAACCGAGAAAACACAAAGGCAAATTGGTCGTACAAACAAACAAATGTTAATCTGATTTCAGTCTGCATTTCAGTGTGATGGCAAGTCTTAATGCGTAACACCAATAGTGAATAACAAACGACTCCTCTAAGGACTGAACCCAGAGACTCAAAGATGAAACGCACGAAGTACATGATACATGGTTTTCAAGTTGATGGCCCAACGAGTTTAAAATGGCTATTGCAATTCCGGCCTACCTCAGATTTCATTTTGTGTTCTAACCGAAATGCATTAAAGGAACGACTTGGGTAACCGCTTATGACTTTATTTTTGTTTATTCATCTAACTGATGAACAAGTAAAAATGGAACTCGTCAACCGGGATGGATTGTGAGGACCGAATTTCAGTAGTTAATCCACATTTATATGATTGATAGACAAGTGCAATTTTTCCATAAAATGAAAATAAAATAGCCCAACGAATAGGATTCTTTTCAGCAAGTTTGTTCGGTTGAAGTAGTTTTCAGCGTGACTGATCTGTTGTTATGATTAGTGATATTTGATTGAGAAAGGATTGAGCGCGACAAAATCATTAAATCACTGTTTGGAGAGCACTTAGGTTATCCGTGAGTTACTCCGTATTTAGGTCCTGGGATTATGCCCATCGTATGGATTGGTATCGGTTTGAGGTCAAGGTGGTCTGTTGGGCGAAAGGTCACTACTATGGTTACTGCGATTTGTATTTCTTACGACAACTGTCGAGTGCTCCTGCACGAATTCATTACTGGAAACGCTCAAAGAAAAGAGTAGGAGGTGATCGCGGATGGAGCGAAGAGAGGCTATTTGTCTTTAAGATTAACAATAACCCACAGGTTGACTGAATAATAGGGGAGCCCAAGAGATTCAGGTAACTTTTGTTGACCATGTTTGTTTCACTAAATTACCGGTGGAATATTTTCTTCTGCATGCGAAGGTGTGAGAAAGCGAATAAAAAACGATACCATTGATGATACTCTTAGATTATACTGGCGCTTCTGTAAATTCAGCTTGTTGTTGGTAGAGACTGTGCAATTTATAACGTTTCACACATGACTAATACTGTGTAACTTGTCAATTTCTAGTCGCAATGAAGAGGCTAAAAAAGTGGTTCTCAAGTTTCGCAAAGCCTTGAGTTTACGAACACAATAGGAACTGAGCATTTTTCTTGTGTTGTACAGACCCCGAAGACCAGGGTTTTGCGATAGTGTATAGAAACACATTTTTAGGTAAAGAAAATGGAACTTCGCGCAACTCAGGAGTAGGTGTTTTTACTCCCTACAGCGGACGCACTGCTGTGGACAAAACAGGTGTCTAGTGCTCCTTGTCACATGGAAGAATACAGACGGTTTTCGTTGTTGATCGACTGCAGTGAACGGTAAGCATGGTGGAGAAAAGTAAAACCATATTAGACTTTCCAAGTGCTTAAAAGGATGATGGTAAAAGGGACAACTCAGTTGGTCCACAGTCTCAGCAGAACACACCGCAGTTGAAAGGATCCCATCAACTTTGATGTTCTCACAAATCCGAATATTTCGGCGGAGTTCTAGTGTTAGATGATCTCTCAGTATAAGGAAAATGAGGGAGTCGGCGAAACGATCGGGAAGTGTAAAATGCTTTCGGTGGAGAAAGAATATCAAAAAGTAAAACTTCACTTCATTTTTTTTTCAAAAGACGATTACACAATCATTCTATCTGAACGCAGAGGCGACTGTCCGAAGACAACGAAAGTTGAAGTTAAGCAGCCTGGATGGGATTCGAACACAGAACCTCCAGCTCGATATAGGGGCGATCTACATCGCTCCATCGCTGTCTCTGTTGGCATGGTAAAGCTTTTATGCAGTTTCAAGATAATAGTTTAATAGTGGTCAGAATCATATCAGAAAAGGTGGTTATCAGTAAGGAATGCACGTCTTCAGTTTGAGTTTGATCAACCGTAAACCACGCACGTCTTCCTCTGAAAAGCTTCTAAGTACATTCACAGTTAAGTCTATTACTGACCTAAATTTCGTCTTAACTTTTATCAATTTAACTGCGAAATTGTAAACTTAATAACATCCGAGACAGTCTCATGCACGGCGTGGAGGGACATAGAAACTACAGTTAAGGATGAGATACTTTTACTTCGCGTGAACCACAATCGATAGTTGGTACGTAGGATACAATCGAGCCAACATACAACTAAGGGAAATAACACCTGCGTCGATGAATTTCCAACATTGCAGTAAGTAATTAGGGATGTCAAAAAAAAACCGGTAGGTACAGTAATAACCGTAGAGGTCAGAAAGATATGAAATGGTTTATATCGATATCATATGTAGACTGACGTGAATACGGAGTAGACTTGCGTTTATATATGCTACTTAAATGAGAGAAGTAGTCAAAGTACAAAGTAAAATTATTTTCTGGGGATTCATCTTAGTGAACATTTTTTGGAATGCCTCGCTGTTGAGAAGTCGATCGCACTTACATACCTCTGTATGTTAAATGTTTTAACATATACCATCATAGCAGAAGGTTAATTCAAAATAATCTAAAATAAGGACCAAAGTTCCTGTGATAAAACTGAGAGGAATAACACAATGGCTCACATGAAACGCACAAAATTTCTGCCGATGGAAAAATGATGTCCTACAATAAGAACTCATACCCTAATTGGTGCAGGTTATCAAGTAGAACTGGGACATGTTTCAAGACAATAAAATCAAAAGCCTTGGTTGCATGTTTCTTTTGTTATTCCATTAAAGATACATATGAAACGCTAGACGTATTTAAGAGTGCCCGTACATAAAGACGGTCAAAATAAACGTTTTCAGTATCATGGAGAAGGAACCTCGCTAAACACCTAGAGGAGGGATCGTGTTCATATATCCCATGACTTGCTTCTCTATCTGGTTAGAAGGATTTGTAATCCAGTGGTTTTAGATAAAGAGCTGGAGTCAGTAATAACATT